CCTTTTAATTTAAATTAAGAATATATTCATTGTGAAAGTGGCTTGGATTGAAATAACGTTTTCCATAGAAATTCACATTTAAAGATTATTTAGTTCAACATAAAATTTCAGATGTTGAACCTTAAATGACTATAATATAAATCGATTCAGTTTCTACTCAACTTTAAGTAAAAGATATCTCTAAGCATACTGTGTATTTGATGTAAGGATAAAAGAAAATATTTATTTTATGAAACATTACATTAAATGGATATAAAAAGGTTTTATCGTATTCTTTAGGAAAAAGCTATTTTCTTCTTGAAATATAGCTTTTGATCTTTAGAAAGGTCCTACCAAACACACAGTGATGTTCTGGGCATAAGCAGCATGGTGGCTACCAAGTGCTCCAAACGTCCAAGGTCCCCAAAAAATTAAGGCCTACCCTTTATTATTATTATTTTGTGGATATTACATCTACCGTCTCATTTTCTTTTGAAATTTCTATTCTAATTTCATTATGTTTGTCAAGTGGCTGTGGCGGTGATGGTGGCGGGATAGTGTACCATGTTACGAGTGGTGGTGACAAAGGTGACAAGAATAAAATAGTATTACAAACATGTGGTGTGTAACAAATGTAAATCTTCGTGTTACAAGCTCTATGTTAAAAAATAACAAAAACAAAAATAAAAATAAAAATATATTGACAATGAAAAAAAAAATGGTCTCGACATATATTTTTGTATATGTGAATTGTTTCCAAAAATTTAAAGGTAAAGTAAAATTAGAAGAATTGTTGAGAAGAAAATTTGAAAAGTAAAGAATGTTAGCATTTATCTTACTGTAGCCTTTTTTAATTTTATTTATTTCATTTTATTGCACTGTAGTCATTTCGTTTGTTTTCCTAGTGTTTGAGCAAAAACGACACGTTTTGTCTAATTGGTACATACTTCCCTTTCTCACATGAAATTCTTTACTTTTTCAAAAAAATCACACCTTGTTTCTTCTTCTCTTCTCTAGAGTTTAATGTGTTTTTATTTCTATTTGGTTTTTATTATCTTTTTTTTTTATTTGTGTATGAATTAATTTATTTTTTAGATTTTTCTGGTGTCTAGATTTTTTCTAGCGGTAAGTTAGTTTCCTCCCCCCCCCTTTTTTTTATTTGTGTATGAATTAATTTATTTTTTAGATTTTTCTGGTGTCTAGATTTTTTCTAGCGGTAAGTTATTTTTTTTCCCCCCCCCCCCCCCCCCTTCTTTTCTCCTTTTTTTTTTATATTTGCTTTATATTTTTTTTCCTCCTTTTTTGAATTGGCTTTTGTTAAATTTCCCAAAAAAAAAAATAAATAAATAAATTTGAAAGAAAAAAAATATTGATGGAGTTTAAAGTCTCCGTGAGCGGAGAACAAGTCTACTAATTTGATGCATCTGAGTGATAGATTTTAGGATTGCATATTTCTTTCTGAATTATCTGTATATCTTCCCTCGTGCTGCTTAATCTATTTAGTTCAATTTCATGCCCCTTCTTTTATGGTTGGTGCCTTGGTGGTGATTTTATTGTGTAGGGATGAGCTGGACACTCAAATACCACAATATGCCCTCTTTCGCCGAATGGATGCCTACTGCTTTTTCTCTTTTTTATTCACTAGTGACAAATTTTCCCCCAATTTAACTTAAAGGAAACATAGAAGGTAAATTATGAGCATAACCTGGTGAAGATCACAAATATAAGCTTTGTTCTCGCAAGATTTTGTTACTTATGAGAAGTGAAGTATTATCTACAATTATCAGCAATATGACACATGATATTTGAGTTTTTGATGAGTTTTAAACCATCAAGTTCAATTAACTTGTGAAGCTGACAACTTACACTTTCTTTGCAAAAATGATATCCTTTTCTCTCTATGTTGTTCACCTTGTTGGATATCTTCAACTGGAAATATTGTCGAGAATATGCTTAAAGCATTGTCATGATTGTGATTATTATTAACCTTTCTCAATTCAATCTATTTCTTCTCGTCATTTAGGATCTTTTGTGACAAATGTACTCTTTGTTACATAATTTCGTCTTGCTGGAATATAATTAGAGGGTCTTGATCAAATATCACTTCATTGTTGTGTTGGGATTGATACATTTCTTTCTTGGATTATCTCAGACTATATAAACAAGAAAAGAAGACGTGGGAACCAAGTTTATTCAAGATGCTACAGGCCTTTTTTTTTGGGGATTTTTATGGTGTTCATATACAAGGAAGAAAAGATTATTGTAAGGGTTTTAAGATTATTATTATTATTTTTTAATGGTTTTCAAAGATATCCCTATGAAACTCTTAACTAGCAAGGAGGTAGAAGAAATTAATCAATGAACCCATCATCTTTATTTAGAGGCGGTCCTAGGCAGAGGCCAATGAGGCCCGTGCCTCAGGCCCAAGACCATCAGGGGTCTCATTTTGGCCCCTTTTATTTATTTATTTATTTATTTAAAAAAAGAGGTGAGAAGGCCCAAAGACTAATTATTCGACAACGAAATAACACTCTTAAATCCCAACCCAACTTATGTATCCAAATCAAATATCCACAATCCATTTACAAAATTCCCAAAATCTGAAATTAGAATCATACGATGTAGGGCATTATAATTCCCAAATTCCCAAAATCATCAGAAAATCCCAAAATCTTAAATTAAAATCTAAAATTAGAATCATACGTTTGAGTCGTCTCTGTCCGTCGTCTCCAGCCTCCGCCCTTCTGCGTTCCCGTCGCCCGCTTCATATGCTGATCGAAGTAGTTGAACACAGTGGAACACTCAAACTTCGAAGTCTGCAAAAGCGCCTGCTACCCTGCCTGCTCAGCTGCTCGTTCCATCATTCATCTATGAGACTGTGACTATAAGTGGCATGTATTTTGTGGTTTTAACATGCAAGGTGATTTTAGTGTTAAATAATACAGAGTTATAAATTTTTACTATCAGGTGGGTTATGTTGTAGAATGCAGATATAATGGAAAATTTTCTTTTGAATTCATTCTTTGTGAAATTATTATGCTTGTGGCCCCATTATCCATTTACCTTTGAGGAGTTCCACAAAATTATTGGTGTCATAACGTTATGCTTGAGCTCGCCATAGACTGATTCTCAAATTGACTATTAATTATCCTTAATTTATAGGATTTTATCTAATATATAATGCTACTGGATAATTGTGGAAATCATTAAAGTTGTGCAAAATTCTTTGGCGGTCAAATTTTCATGTTTGGCATGTATAATTTGTTACTGCTAGTATCTTTGTTTTGACATTAAGTTGTTAACCATTACTTTGCCTTTGTTTGAGATTGATTATTTGTAAATTCTTAGGTGGAATAGTGGTGGAGACCACAAAATATGTGGATAATAATTCACAAGGGCGTAATTCTACAGTCTTCATCAAAATTCCACTTCTCAAGTAATCAATGGCTTGCCCTAACATCTTATTGGAGAGATTAAAAATGTTTGAAGCCTTGTCGGTTTATATAACTGCAGTTTGGTCGGCTTATATAATTGCAACCTGGCCAGCTTATATGATTGCTTATTATAGAATGAACAATTGTACAGGTGCACGTAGTAACTATATTGAAAATTTTAATTGTGAGATGATTGAGATATTTTTTAAATTAGCAATGGATCACATAATATACTGTTTAATTTTGTATTTACATTGCTTTTGCTAGGGGGCTTAATTTACAGAGTTCGCCTCAGAACTCGTCAATCACAGAACTGGCCTTGTCTTTATTTTACAAGAAAATTTATACAAACGCAAGCCCACTTCTTTCCGTGTCACACTTGGAATGATTTATTAATGAACATTTATTATGGTGTATGAAAGGGAGTATATCCGCATTTATGAAATGGTTGTAGTTGTAATTGATGCCAAAAAGTCTTTGTTCTGCATAACTTATTTGAAAATAAATTAATTTTTATCATATATTTTTTTAATAAAATAATTTTATATGTGAATCCATAATTCTGTTTTTCAACCTTACATTTATATTTTCTCACTTCAAATAATCTCTCCCACACGAGTACTTAATTTTTTTTTTATATAAAATATACTCTACTATGCATTAAATTAATTAACTGTACTCTACATGCATGATTATAGTATTTATGCAATATTGAGATTTTAACTTTGCCTTTTAGATTCTCATCATTATGTTCCACCCAAACCAATAAAATATTGCGATTTTCAAGCTTTAATCAAAATGTCATTCTCCACATGCATCTTTCATCATGGTTATAGACAATTCGGCCGCATAATTATGTTCGACTTCAATTATTTCTCAATTGAGAAAATATTTAAAATTATTAAAGAAAATGTCTTTTGGTTGCGTAGAATTATTCACTTAATTAAGTTAAAAGCTAATGAACAATAAACTTCTCATCATCAAATAGGGACCCGAAAATTTTCTTCTTTGGAAAGCTGCAAGATTTGATACCTCGGAGATGCAAAAGATAATAATTTAGGCAAGACTTGTGCATGTTTACTTTCTTGCACTTATGAAATTGAATACTTAATAAAAATTTACAAAATACCCCCTACGTTTAGGGTGTATTTGAATTTTGCATACCATACTTTACAAAATTACATTTTTCTATATTGAATTCTACTTATTGGTACACACTTCGAAGGAAAAATAGAAATATTTACAAATTTCTTATTATAAATGACTAAACAAACCAAAGTAACTCTCATTTAAAAATAACAAGATATTTAATTAATATTTTATACCTTTTATTCTTCAAAGTTGTAATTTCTATTCCTCTTTCATCCAAAAATATTGATTATAAAAACGACTATAACACAAATATTTCTTATTTTCAAAAACTTTAAATACTTTTTCTAAATTCTACATTTCACATTAATAATAACATAATAAATACAATAATCTGTATTACGAAGACAAGTAGTAAAATAAAATTCAATGATCTTGTAAGTAAAATATGGTGAAGTCAACTAAGCCCTTACTATGAATAACTGGCCAATGGCAATTGGCAAGTCATAACTTCGAATACAATCATAACATTGTATACAGAATCAAAATCTGTAGCAGCAGCTGCAGCATCAAAATCATGGAGCAACGAATCATAGCCATTGTATTCTGTTTCCTGCTGTTACAATTTTCACCCACACACTCCAATACGGTCTGCATAATTGGTAGTGGAATCGGCGGCGCTTCCGTGGCGCATTTCCTCCGCCAATACTCCGCCGCCTACCACCCGTCCCCGTCCCCAATTGCTCAAATCAACATGTTCGAGCGAAAAGGCGTCGTTGGTGGACGCATGGCCACCGTGACAATAGCCGGTGAGACCTTCGAGGCCGGTGCCTCCATACTGCATCCCAAGAATTACCACGCCGTGAACTACACCAAATATCTTGACCTTCAATTGAAAAAGCCGAAGTCGAGTGACGATTCTCTCTCTTTGGGTCTCTGGGATGGCCATAAATTTGTCTATAAAACATTCAACTCGAAGTCAAAGCTACCAATTGTTCAACGCTTGGTGTCACTTGCAAATTCTATTATGATGTTTCTGCGATACGGATTTTCCCTCTTTCGTATGAGTAGCTTCGTCGAGGTATTAAACCAATGGTCGTGCTTAATTAATCCAAACCAGTTACATGTGGGTGGGTACCTCTGGGGTAGCAAAAGTTACCATTTTTAAACTTTAAAGGGTTCAACTTTAAATCATAACACCTTGTTGTTGCCCTTGCTTTAGCAGAAAGGGAGTTCTGTATGGAATTATTTGTATTTGACTATTGAAGAATCTCCTATCCGCCAAATATATATAGGAACACTTAAATACATGGTATAACAATTCTAGCCGGGCGTTTTGAAGTAAAATCAACATATTGGTCAGTTTAGCTGCTTAGGAAACAAGTGATTTATCTGCCTTGCTGTATATCACGATGTAATAACTTACTATATCATTGAAGTGAATTATTTTGTTGCTGTTTCACACTTTACCTTTTATCCTTCTGATTTATTATAATTAATACTCCACAAGTAGATACATAATTAAAATATTTATTTACTTGTCCTTGTACATAAATTTTTATTGTGTTTTTGTGTATTGCTCTTGGTGTCTCTATGTGCATTGTTGGATAGTATTTCACATACGAGATAACTTCTCTACATGATTTATTGAGTTTTGGCAAAATGGGGAAATGCTGTGGTGTTCTTACCAGTGCAGTGCGTTATGGTTTGGTTCTTGGTGATAATGATGGTATAAATGTTTGTAGGTGGCAGTGAATAACTTTTTGAGGTATTATGAAGGTTTTAATTCCCGTCCTGTGTTTGAGAGTGTGGAGGAGATGCTTAAATGGGCAGGACTGTACGATCTGACAACACAGACGCTTGGAGAGGAATTAGTCAAAGCAGGGTTGTCTCCTCTACTCATTCAAGAGCTTGTCACTGTGAGATACTGTTTCTCATACTATAATTTCTATGTTTCAAGTAATTTGTTTGCATGGTATTACTCAATTCATTATGTTTTACGACCACTTTTTCTTTCGATTGTTCATGATGAACTTAGAACCTAATTGGTTTTCCTCTGCTGGTTAGTATCCATGCCTTGGTCACCTAGTCATCTCCCCTCTTCTGTGCGCCTATATCTCATTTATTGCTGTTGCACTTTTGTATTCAGCCTGTTGTTTTTCATTCATATCTTTACTAGAAAGCTATTTTTGTCTTGATATATTCCTAGTGCAAATAATATAGGTCATGTCTGCAGAAGTAATCTTATTGTGTCCGGAAATAGCATCATTGACACAAACATCACTACTCATATTCATTAAACCATGCATTGCATTTGGGAACCAATCATATGTTCCTTCACTATCCTGCAAACATTTTTGAAGTCTAGTTTCTCAGCGAAAGCATTAAGAGAATAATCTACAATAGGTCTTGGAGAGTAGATGTAGCATGGCCCAGTCAAACTGGAGTTATTTATAAACTGGGTAGAATCTTGAGCTTGCTAGAGCCACAAATACTTGTACCCATGCTTTCTCTACTTCTCTTAATATTAGTAACCACCCCCGTGCACTTTATATGGTGAAGTCTTATGAAGAGTATGTATACTTAACCCATTCATGCTTGGAGAACCATGATGAAGTGGCCTGATGAGAAAGATTACTTGTGGATCACCGAGTGATCAAGTTTCCAATACAACCATGGTAAAAGCTTCTTTCTTCAAGTAAGGATCCCATTTGATGTGACCCCAGGAGGAGTGGTAGGAGGAGAGTGACATCCACGGTTAACCAGCGATGGCCAGTAGTCTATATTTGTAGGGCCTGTTTGGGAGGGATTTTTTATCCCAAAAAATTAATTTTTTGACCGTTATTTCACTATTCCAACCGTAATTTTTGACTTCTTCTCTCACAGGTGGACCCCACTTTTCTTCTAACGATCAAAAAATCAATTCTCAAAACTTGGCTGCCCGCCAGATCTCTCCTGGTTAAAAAAATAAATAAATAAATAAAATTTGAAAGCATTACTTTCTTACATAATTTCATTAAAATCTAGAGGCTACAGATTTAGCATCTACACACCTACTTTGGACTAGACTTTCTTTACTTCTTTGGGCCCTTGAATTAAATACACACATTAAGAGATTTCATAAAATTAGGCCCCGTTTGAAAGTATATTTGATTTGATTTATTTTTATTTATTTTTCCTGGTTTTTGTGCATATGGGATTGGGCTCCAGGGCTCATATGTTAGAAGAAAAAGAATGCTCTTGTTCGCCTGCTTTCAATAGCATCTTCAAATTACATAACCATGAAAATGGAATGAACAGAAAACAAATTTAGCGTAATGAAAACTTTTGGGAATGAGGGAAACAAAAGTGTCTCCTCTTTCTCGACATATAGACCCATTTGTTATAGAATTACTCAATAATTTTTGAAACCTTCCTTAAAACATTTATTCATTTCTAATTCCAACACCCCAATAGGGCCCTTTTCTTCATATCATGGCGATCTCCTATATTTCTTCTATTCCATTGCCCCTCCTTCTCTTTGATCTAAAATTTGGCCCATATGTGGAAATTCTGATACTGCTAGGACCAAGCAACTGCATAATTTAAGCAGCTTGAACTTGACGTATGATTTTGGATTTTGAGATTTAAAATTTATCTTTCTTGTACAGGTTATAACAAGGATAAATTATGGTCAAAGTGTTAACATCAGCGGATTTGCTGGTGCAGTTTCCTTGGCTGGATCTGGAGGCGGTTTATGGTCAATTGAAGGAGGGAACTGGCAGTTGGCTGCTGGATTGATTAACAGATCTGATGTTTTATTGCACCTTCATGAAGAAATAGAATCTGTCTCTTATCTAGGAGATGTTTATGTGCTCAACTCCACCCAAGGGAAGAGTTACAACTGTGGAGTTACAGTGGTAGCAACACCCCTAGATGAGCTGAATATTGATTTCAATCCTAGAATTTCAATTCCTCCAAGGAAATTACAGCACACACATGCAACTTTCGTTAGGGGTCTCTTAAATCCTGTAAGCATATGGGATTTCCCTTTGACATCATTCTTGTCCATACTCATCCCTTTTTATATTTTTGAGGTATTACAATTTGATTATTTGCTGTGAGCAGGCATATTTTGGTCTGAACTCGCTTTCGGATATCCCAGACTTGGTAGGCACTAAAGAGTCTCATGATGTACCATTCTCGAGCATCAGTATTCTGAAGAAACATGAGAATGATATGACTTACAAGGTATTCTCTCGTGAGACAATGACAGATGCGTTGCTGGATAACGTTTTCAGGTATACTTCTAAATTTGCTTGCAGTAATCATTTGTTAAAAGCTGGAGAGCTCTAAAATTGATTCTATTTATTTATTGGAATAGGGTTAAAAATGATTCTTGTAATTAACCCCAAGTTTATGGGGTACGATATTTAGCTGCTAGTTGTTACTGCTGGAAAACATAGACTGCGAGCCAGTTTGAACCATAGTTATAAAATCCGGCCTGGCCGGTCGGGCCGGAAAATCGGTGACCCGGGCCCCTGACTGAGCCGGGTAGAATATTTTCATAGATATGCAACTGATTCGGTAAAAATCGAGTTGACAGAGTTAACTGACGATTTTTATATTAACTCGGTCAGTTGACTAATTTGATCAAGATTTAAAAGTTTGTCCATAAATTTTTTGTTCTCAGAAGGACTTGAAACCCTAAACCTCTAGATAAAGTGAGTACCACCTAACCACTAGAGATCAAATGTTTATTGTTATGTATTTGTAATGATTATGTATATGTAAATCATTTATAGTTTGTTAAAAATATTTTTAAAAAAATATAGTAACTATTTTTATTAACATGAATTGAATTTTTAACAAAATAATATATAAATATACAAATAATTAATGATAGATAATTTATTTATTTATTTTGGTTTTATCTAAAAGAAAAACTTTATACTTTAAAAAATATTTTATAATTATTAAGCATTGACATACCGGTCTAACCACTAACCCATCGGTTCGACCAGCAACTCGAGACCTGGTGCCTTGACCGGGTCAATAGTCGGATCGGGTTTAATAACTATGGTTTGAACAGTCATTTCTTATTTGCAATAAATTTGTTTCGAGTATATGAAATAGCTCGTCGTTTGTGTTCACAGTATATTTCCGATAAAGAGTATAGATCCTCGTACAAATCACCAGGAGTTGTTTTTTATTGTTACATGATATAGCCAATAATATACTGTCTCTGGCCTGTTGTCCTTTTCAATTGCTTGGGGTTTTCACTTGTTTTTTTTAAGATGTTGTTCTAGAAAATCTAAACATGTCAAGCCGTTTCCTTGCCCTTAGGTTTCAGTGTCTCCATCCAGAATCACGTTCTTATTGTTATTTCTGTTTTGGCTGATGATAGGCTACCAACACGGGTTTCCATAATTTTGTAGCCGATTGGTTAGATTCCAGTTATCACAGTCAACCAAATACAGATTGTGTACTCTCCTTTCATTTCAGTATGTTTAATATACTTGAAATATGATCTCGTGTGAAGTTGATCTATATCTTGTAGCATTGACCAATCAATTTTACCGGAGATACTCTTCTAAACTTCACTAGTTTGTAATTTTTATTTATTGGTCAACCTATTAGTTGCCATGTTTCCTTATATTTTTCCTTGACATTTGCATCTGCAGTACAAGAAAAGAGACAATGAAAATCAACTGGGCTGCTTATCCTCATTATCACGCTCCTGAGAAATTTGCTCCCTTTATTTTAGATAATCAGCATTTGTACTATGTGAATGCGTTTGAGAATGCAGCCAGCACAATGGAAACAAGTGCTGTTGCGGCTGAGAATATAGCCCGGCTTATTCTCTCGAGATTATCCCAGGGAGTGGGCTTGAGTTCATTAGACTTGAAGAGGGTTGGCAGAGATCCATCTGAATTGCACACAGAGTTGTAATTTCCAATGTAACTTGTGCGAGTTTCTGGTGTCCTGACTGCGCCAGGGAGCCGAACTGGGAACTTGTATATACAATTAATTGTCATGCTTGTGCACGCCTGCGTATATGGGAATAAATGCTGTAGAACATTTTGTCGAAAACATATTTGGAGTTGATGAGCTCATTTTGTAAGTTATTTCAATCCATCCGTGACTTGATTTGGGAAACTGCCCCTTGAACCGATCATGATTTGTTGTATCAATCTAGTGGTCTTTTTTTTGGAGCTCTTAGGCATTCCACTACCTATTTCTGTGAAATTGCGAGTTATTATAGCAGTTTTATCATCTTGATGAAATCTGATGGATTTAGTTTCTTGACCTCAACACAAAAGCCTAGTTTGGTTTCTTGATTTTCTGATTCATATCCATCCTATGTATTGAAGTCACATTATTTATTATTATTATTATTTTTTCAAGTGCACCGTATTTTACTTGTGTGTTAGGTTCCTAATCTTTACTCATGGTCACACTTGTATCTTCAACTTTTAATCGCATTCTTATCGGCAATCTTCCATTAATTAACACATTTTGTCATAATTATATTTTTGTTCAAAAAATCTATTAGGAGCGAGTTAAAAGACTTATTGTCCCTTTAGATTTTTAAATAAGCAGAAAATGAATAAATAAATAACTAACAAATTGTGATTAAATATTTGTTTTTCATTTTAAAGCGCGTTAATAGAAATTTTGAGTGAAAAGCTTTGAGATTGATATTCCTTCCTCATGTTTGAAATGAGGTGATCTTTTCTATGTAAGTTGATTCTTAAACTGTTAAATAATATATTATTGATGATCAACTCTTTTCTTCTTGTAGGTATGGTTGTAAATGGATCGAATCTGTCCATTTCTGATTCAATAAGAATAATTATCTAATCCGATTCAATAATTTAACGAATATTTGATTATTAAATTTGTATCTGATTTGCTATGTTATTGAATATTCAATCTGATAATTTGATTCAAAATTGAAAAAAATTAGGAAGATAAATTTTTTATATTAGTCAACTTCTAAACCCTAAATTTATAGGGACCATATTTATGTGTAAAGCATACAAGTTTCAAAATGAAAAAACTGTGTAATAAATTATGCTATAACAAATAAAATATATTATATTATTATAACAAATCAAATCGATTTGTTATCGGATTGGATTGATCTACATTCATATTTGTTTCATTTTAATTAATAGATTATCGGATTCGAATCTTGATCAGATTATTGAACTGAGATCCTAAATTCATGAATTTCATTGGATTCGGACTAAAATTCAATGCATTGACAACCTTACTTGTAGGGTGGCGATGGCAATGCCAGGCCAATAGGTCGAGGACCAACCCCTCAACATCCCCAGCCGCTAAGACAAACAGAAGTCTAAAAACCAAAAATATCAATTACTAATGTTGGGCCTTTTTCCACCTTTATTCGGTTAAAGAAGCCATTTAAAAAAATAAAAATAAATTATATATAAATGGAAAATACTGCGTTGGACGAGGAAATGCAAGAAGGGAGAGAGATATAGAGAGAGAAAGAGAGAGAGGGAACAACACAACACGTAAGTATTCATTGGCGAAAAAACGTACCATCACCGCTTCTCTCTTTCTTCCCCCAAACCTCACTCGCGATTCTCTTTCTCCTATACATACACATTACATATACTTACGCAACCATCAGTCATTCAATCAAATCAATTCATTCTCTGCGGTAAAACTCTTCTCCTTGTTAAATCCGCTTCTGGCGGGAAATAATTTGTCTACTATTTTTCATATTGACGAACTGAAAGAATGTTATTTTATTATATTTTATTTTTGGGTTTCCGGGATCTTCTGTGGTGTTTTGTTATTGCTTATAGCATCGAGGAGTCTTAGTGACATGAATGCATTTTATGTTATTCAGCAGTACTTTTAATTGTCGAAGTTAGATTTTTCTTCGATTTTGTGTTCTAATCTGGGTTTTTTCCCCGCATTATGATCTGGCCTTTTGCTTTCTTCAATATTTGGAGGTTCATTGCCTGCTCTGTTCTTTCCCATCTTATTGGGATTTTTTTTCCAGGTTCTCGTTATTTTTTCTTCATTTCATCGTTTAGTTTGTTTCTTTACCTTTCTGAGGGATCCTTAATTTTTTGTGCTTTCTTTATTTTCCAGGGTTTGAAGTTGAAATTCCAAGAAAATTAAGAGCGTAAAGAGAAATGCCTCTGTACAAAAGGAAGCCTTTTTCGCCGGTGGAGAAGCCCGAGGATTTAAAGCCTCAAGAGGTTGTCTTTCAGGTCCGGTTTACGAAAGAAATCTTCAGAGATTATAGGTAATTTTTGTTCTGTTTATTCTTACTGTTGGTGAGTCATGTGCTATGTGTTCAAAATTTTCGCATTGACTGTTATCTTTAATTCAATTCTTCAATATTCAGTGAATATTTGAAGAGGATTAATTTATATCGAAAAAAAGTGTGGACATGCAAAGCTACGGGGAAAACTAACTTGACCTATGAAGAGGCTTTGGTTTCAGAGAAAGAAGCTGCAGAAAAAATCCAAAATTTCCCTGAGGAGTTAGTGCCTCCCGTGCTTCATGAAGTTCAATTCAGTAATTCCTCTATACTTATTGTTATTAGCTGTTTCATTGAAGTTTACTTTCTAATGCTCTATCTTATCTATGAAAAAATGAGCCTACATCTTGATTTTGTTTATTTATTGCTATAGAGGTATTGCTGTATTCGAAAATAATATAAGGTTGGGTGCTAAAGGATTTCATGAGGTCAAACTAGTGAAGTTCTAGGTAGTCAGGCACCAGGCAATGTGTGATAGTACGCAACAAGAATCTACTGACCATGGGCATAATTATGTATTTATATTCTTTTAAGATGCAAATTTCATTTTCCGAACTTATTTCTTAATTTGATCAATACTCAAGTCACGGCAAAACACCCTTTATGTCGAGTTGAAGAAGTCAAAATGTTATTATACTGCCAAACCTATGAGCAACGATGATGAATGATTCACAAGACCATGCGTGTGACCAGAAAAAAATAAAAAATCAAAGACGGTATTGATTTGAATTGCCTTTTTCCTGTGTAAGCACTTAAGTTAATGTCTCCTTCACATTTTAATGAACTCCGAGTTCTTGCCTGAAATTTTTTCGCTCCTCTGTACTTGTTCTCCTCATCACTCTTCCTATCCTTCTGCTTTACCAATGCCATGGGCTTTTGTCCTCTTGGCCAAAAGATGCCCAGTGAACGCACAAAACCATTTTTTCTCCAGCTAAAGTTAAAACTACCATTCTCACAGTTTATCAGCCACTCATTGGGTGAGTTTGGGATTAGAAGAAAGCTTCATAGTTCCGCTACTCCCTAAGGCCTTTCACTTAAAAAGAAGCTGTTGTCTACTATAAAAAGACATGAGATTCATTTTACTAGTTTGTTGGATGAGCCTGAAAAAAAAACATGTGATGGAAAAGGGGTGAGAAAAAGCCTTCTGCAAAGATCTACTTCCTGAAGTGTCTGGCCCACCTTTTTTGCAAAAGATCTAAAAAGACGAATTGCATTGGGAGAATTGGTAGGCCTCAAGATCGAGGCAAAGGTATGATAGCTGGAGCATGGGAGTATAAGCGAGAGCATCTCTCTTTTCGGGACTGAAAGTGAACCATGGAAGTAGATTGGAAGTTTTTTTTGGTCAAATGGACCTAAGAATCAAGTGAGACATAGGCTTAGTAAAATTTATACCCGGTCTTGAATTGTTCACCATTGCTCTTATTGCTCCACTTTATGCCAGGATCCACAGCACCTAAGAGTCCGAAGCTTGTCCGAAGTGACCAAAATCTCTTTCAGCCTTACCTGCAAAGCCCAATATCTTCACTAATGTGTTTACAAGATGAAGCTTTGTCTAAATTAATAGTAGGAATTTGTCAGTCACCGAGGCTCAGAGTTTAAATCTTACAGATTGGAGAAGTGGCCAATTGGAGCTGCTAGGAAACCTTAAAATTTAGTGAAGCTTAGATAAGTAGGGTTTCACTCCAAGGCGATGTGGTAGATTGCATTTTGAAATGCTCAATGTGGTGGCGTGAAAATTTTTTCGCTTTATCTTTATCACCCCGTTTGGTACCCATTTTTTTCAAAATGCATTTTTCTCTCTTCTTTTCAACCACACATTCTTTATTAAAATAATATTACACGTAAATAAAAAACTTTTCTTTATTTTTCAACAATACATTTCCCATCAATTTATTATTCAAAAATGCATTTTTACATAAAAATGTCTCCCAAACACCCTCTATATGTTTTGTGTCATTAATGTGAGAATGACATTTTAAAAAACAGAAAAATGAGACCAAATTTACTTTGAATATTCTGATTTTGGTTCAAAAGAGTTCGATTGTAAGCCGATTGGATGCTGAAGACTCACTTCTGAGACCTGAGGCATCATCGTATTGTTTGGGTATATATCTATTTTTGATGCTTCATCCTCTTATAGACTTTGAGGTATTGTTCACCTCAGTTAATGATGGCTTTAAATTTCTCTCTTGATGCTGGCTTTAGCTTTTAATTCAACATGTACTGGATTGAGTTATCATTTTCTTTCATTTTCTAAAACATTCTTCAATTCTCTTAGCATGCAATTTTGGACTGTTTATATTAACTAGAATTTGATTTATGCTTATGACCAATATAATTCTGTTTAGAGTTTGGCCCTTGTTTGGCACCTGTTAAAAATTTTAATACATTTTTCTCTCCTTTTCTCAATCACACATTCTCTAATAAAATAATATTACGCGTAAATTGATTTTTTTTCCTTTTTTCAACCAATCATTCTCCAAAAACTACTATTCCAAAAATTAAAATCTCTAATAACGGGGGCCAAACGGGGCTTGATATAACCATTTTTTAAAAAGGCAATGGTGAAGCATGCTTTGAGGCACTGAAAATTAGCCTCTGGGTGTGAATATCTTTGAGTATTAATTAGGCTTACGCCTCTACTGATTGAGACACAAGCCTCAATGCTCACACCTCTCATTGTTTATGGTGCTTTGGATTGTGGCCCACTATGAATGAAAACCTACATATTTTCTTTGGTTGATCAGCTTTGGAAAGTCCAACATGTGCTGGTTATATCAGCCATAAATGATAATAAATTATAGATTGAAACCAGCCCGAACATAAATACAACAAATGTACAGGTTTCACACCAAATGTAGAACTGTTCAACATTGGCTCACTTGGCGGCTTCGGTTTTTTCTTCTCTCTGAATTTTTTTTTGTCTTTATCTTTTTTATTATTTTTTGGTTGTTTCTTCTCATGGATGATCAACTATATTGTCTCATCTTCTACTTTATTCTTTCTTTCTTATGTTTAGAAGAAAAAAAATGATGATGGGGTAGGTACATCCATGATATGTGAATGCTCTAACTAGATGATAAACTAATTGATTCTAAAACTAAATTTTTAATTATTGGAAAAATAAAAGTGACTTAAGATGGAATTTAAAATATGTTAATATTCTATTGCAATTCCTAGAAAATTGTTATTTTTACATTTCTTCGATATACGGTGAGGCATATGCCTCAAAAAGCCTTGAGGCTCCTCGCCTGACAAATGAAAAATGCCTCAATATCCGGATTAGCATTTTTAAACACTGAATTTATAACTTTGTTTGACTAAAAACGGATAGGAAATTTTTAATGTAAACTCTGTCTCCATAGTGATGGTTGTGGATTCCTGTAGAAATAGTGTGAATGGAGATCAGAAAGTTTTGGTTTGCTACGAACATGTTGCTGTTATTTTCAGAGTCACTAGGAGTCAAATGTCTCGTGATAATTGAGAAGGAGCTTGACAAAACAAATTTGAGCATCAAGCCTGGACCATTGAAATTGATAACCTGTTGACAGAAAATGTCAAGACTGAATTTTCCTCCGACCATATAATGCTCATTGATGATTTTTATTGCTAGCAAATGGCAAGTGAGTTGCCTCGTCACATGACCTCCATAGCTGACTAATTAGTAAATTATACTTTTGGAAATTGACGTCTCTTGGTATCTCCATCTTTTTTCTCCTTGAAGCTTGCACTGGCTCATTGTTCATTTGTACTGGATTGAGGTGTACATCTTGATGATAATCAATGAAGTTGGTTTTGTATATCAATATCAGCAAAACTATGGTATCAATTGTTTTATGTTGCCTTGCTAAACTCTGTTTTGCACCAATTCACATAAACATGTTTTATATACCTGGTGCGTTCGTGTTTCTATGCTGTTAAAATGGATTGGTTTTGCTAATCAATATGGTATGGTCATGTGATAAACTTAAATTTGCAGGAATGCTTGTGGCCCAAAATTTCCTGCAGATTCATGTTTGTAGAGCATTTCTAACCAGTGTTAGGATGTAGTTATGATTTGGTTATTGCTCTTAAGTTTCAAAAATTTGCTGATGGGATTGTGCCAAAAAAATGAGTTGACACAAAAAGGATGGCTTCATTCTATTTGATCTCAGCTTCAACAATTTTTTTGTTTATATCACAATTTTGATATGTTTTTCTTTAATTGCTGATAAATGTAGCTGAAGCAAACACTTGACAAATCCATCAAATAAATGAGCATCACAAGAAAATGAACACTTCGTGATGTGAAAGATATCAGAAGTCTTATTCAGTTTTGGATATCATAGAATGCAAACCCGTTTACTCAGGTGTATGGAGAAGATAATGCACTCTCTCTCAGAATTAGGATATACGGTATCCTTTACTGTTTTTTCAACCATCAATGTTGGGTCTCCTTCACCGCATAGGCCTTAGCTAAGTGTAGGGCTTAACCTTAGTCACACTCTTGACACAGTAGGGTGGTGGACCTGCACTCTGTTCACGAAGCTGCAGACCAAGAAGAAATTTGCAATTAATTTATGCAATGAGAATTCTCAGTTTGTGCACTGGCAAAGGCCAGTTCAGACTGTCACCAATATATCTTAAATGCCTACAGATTTAGACTTGATATTAAGATTTACTTTTCTTGACCAAAGAGGCATAGCAATAAATGGCCGAGCTGGGAAAAAGTAAGTCAGCCACTTCCCTTTTATAGACGTTGCTTGCTTACTTGCTGGTGAACAATCCATGTGGGATTCGTGATATAGTGTTTTCTCTTGTATTTCTCATAGAAGATTCCCACCATACTTCTTCACTAAGACTTGGTGTGTGACATATCCGGCGCATGTCATGTTTCGGGTCCACCGGGGTGATTTGGAACTGCTCATGTCAGTATAGTTCTGATTACTTAGCCTTTTGCCATTTATTTCGTTTGAGAATTATTGGCGTTGAGGATTTCTATCTCAAGCCAGCACGGATCAGAGAACCCTTCTTGCTGAATGAATTTAAGTTGATTGATTCGTGTTTTCAAGAATGTTGAAGGAAGTTGGGGTTTACTGAAGGATTAAACATGGCTACATAATGACTGCTGCTGCAATGCTGAATTTGTCCCACTTTTTCTTAAATTGACATGTAAAGTTTTACTATTTCAAGTGTACATGCAATTTTATCATCTAGATAATATATTTGAAGTGAATATATAGTTAGTAAGTCTTGAAATTACATAATCATAAAGTAGCAGCCCTACTTCCCTAGTTGGTGTCTTTATATCTGATATACTTGTAAGTTATACTGCTTATTCTTTATGCCTCTTTCTTAACAACGAAGAGAAACACGGTGACTAGTTGACATAACAAGCCTTTGTTTTAATTGTATATATGCTTTGACGATGTTCAGATATCTAGAATTTAAAACTAGCTAGCCCTCTTCCAACGTCCCTTGCCTCTCCCCCACGCTTTAAGCTCTGGATTGGGAGCTCAACTCTAGGAGTCTGATAAGATCCTGTTCTGAATTCTCACTTCTTCTCCTGTAGACACAAACGAAGATTGGCAACCAAACAAGAGTAATCAACTGGGAATTTCTAATATATTGCTGTGAATAGAATAACACTGGGATGAATAGAAAACTGAGAATTACAGCCTTGAAGTAATACTATTTTATGTGAATAAAATATAATTACTGAAAAGGAAAAGACATTTGGGTGTTTGAGAGACCCAATACTCTCCACTAGATCCTTCTCCAATTCTTGCCCGACTATATGGCTATTCTCTACATTTATTTATATTATACTTCTAATAGATATTCCTAACTAATTTCCCTTTTAACATACATAAGTTTTCCATCCACTTGCACACTATTCCTCTTTTGCATCCTTCTAGAATGAGTAAGGTTGATTGGAGACTATCAGAATCATTAGACAAATTGATGATATGCCGTCTATAGGGACTTACAAAGTTCAAAGCTGCTCATTTTAGTTTTTTTAGGTGGCTCATCTAGCTTATTTAACTTATAATGTTTTGGAAATTCAAGTATGTAATTAAATTCTAACTGCGGTAAATTGCTTCAGCGAGCCAATGGCTCAAATTGAATTTAAGTAGGGATTTGTTCTATTAATCACAGAAGTTCAAATTGCTTCAGATACAATTAAATTTTTTTTCCTGGAACATTTGGATTTGGTCTATTAATCACTGTTGTTCACATTTCTTCAGAGAGAGTAAATTTTTTTTTCTTGGCAGGCATGCTCACACTAAAGGATCTTGCAAATTCTATTGCTGCAAAGTTGCAAGGACCTTTTTCAGAGGGTGCTGTATTATATGGGAAAAAGGATGGTCGTTTACATAGGTGCAAAATCGTGAAAGTTCCTGAAGAGTCAGACAAAACTGAATACGAGGTTGCCTGGCTTGGAAGTGATAATAAAGTAACTGGAAAGGCATTGGTAAAGGGTGAGGAGTTGACTGGGAAGAAACTTCCTTTTACTAGGGCTGTTCTCAAGTCTTTTATCAAAGATTCGACATATCGAAGTTTTCCCTGGGTCTTACATGATAGTTTGGCAAAGAAGCATGGAATTTCAACTGCTCCTCCCAGAGAGCTAAAAAATAAAATTTCCATACAAGATGGACTCATTGTTAGTAATAGGAAGAGGAAGAGAAGCGACGATGAGAAAATTACTGGGGTAAATATTGAGATTTTTTTTCCCCTTTTTTTATTCCCATCATTTTGGTTCTTTTTGGAATTAGTGCTCATGTTCCTTTATTCTTTATTTAATCAGGAGGCAAATGAAAATGGTTTAGTTCATAGGAAAGGAAATGAGATATCAGAAGCTCAGGCCGTTAAATATCCCATTGATGATCTATTGGTGCAACAGTCTGAGGAAGACCATTATTTGACAGAGCGTCCTTCTCCATGCAGGGATTTCAATGTGCCAATGGAGTGTGTTGGGAATCTTTTGATGGTGTGGGATTTCTGTACTTCTTTTGGCAGGTTACTAAGCTTGTCGCCATTCTCGCTCAGAGATTTTGAAAATGCCATTTGCCATAAGGACAGTACTCCATCTCTCATTGTGGAATCTTATTCAGCTCTTCTTCGCTTGCTAATGAAAGACAATGGCAACTTCTCCATGGCTATAGAAAATAAGAAAAGGAAGCCAAAGGTTAAACAATTTGAACATATAGTTGTTCCATAGTTATTTCTATCACAAGTAGAATTCTTTTTGATGGACTTCTCCATGTGTTTTGAAAAAATCAATACCCTATTCTTATTGTTGACCTCCTCCAACTTTATCTTCTTATTCCAGATTACAGCCGTCACTTGGACAGAGTATTTATGTGATTTCGTGGAAACAAGTTGTGCTTTGAAATTATCTACCCATGTCAGTACAATTAGGAGGGGCCACTATGGCCTTTTAGACATTAGTGTGAAACTGGAAATCTTCCGAGAACTGGTTGCTCAAGTCCTTGAGACAGACATTGTTCGGGAGAAGTTGGATGAGCATATTGAAGAGCGTCATGCACTTGCTTCAACAAGGAGAGATGAAGCACTAGAGGAAGGTAAAAAGAGGAGAGATGAAAAAGGAAGCAGGAAAGCAGAGACTGATGTCAAGGAAGTTGTAGTAGAGCATAGACTGCAATCTGCTGCTAGTAATTACAATGGACTGAATGGAGTTGTTTCAGAGAAATCAAATGGGATCTCTCAACAGAATCACTCATCTGGGGAAAGGTTGGAATTTATTGTTTTAATTTTTTTTCCCCCTGTAGAAATCGTTCTTTGAGAAGTTGGGTTGAATATAATGTCTCTCTCTGTTCACCCTCTCTTTATTTCTGCCTTTGAAAAATCTGACAGTGAGACTGAACGAGGCATTTTCCCTGATAAGAATGCTAAGAAACAGAAGGATGCAAATACCTTGATAGTAGATTCTAGCAATCCATCTAGAAAGGCCCTGAAACTGATGAAAGTCAACATCAAGGAAGCGATAGAGATGAAAAATATTGCGCAAAGGGTTTGCTCTCTCTCTCTCTCTCCCCCTCCCCNNTTCAGAAAAGGGAGAGATAGAGACAGAAAGGGGGCTGACAGAAGTGTATTGATGCATCGACACACATTTTGGACTTCTATGCTGATCTCTGTATTGCTTGCTTGCTTATTCAGAAAGAATACCTTGAACGGGAGATGGAGAAGAGAATTGTACGCACCAGTCCACTGGGGAAAGACAGAAATCGTAACAGGTATTGGTTTTTCCGACGTGAAGGAAAAATATTTGTTGAGAGTACAAACTCCACGCAGTGGGGCTATCATGAGACTAAGGACGAGGTATAATTAGAAGTCACTCTGTTCTGGTTTTTGTTATAGTTTTCTATTTTTTTTTTTTTTTTTTTTTTTTTTTTTTTTTTTTTTTTTTTTTTTTTTTATATATTCATCTTTTTTGCTTATCGTAGCTTGATGCTTTGATTGGCTCGTTGAATCCAAAGGGTGAGAGGGAAAGGGCTCTTAAAAAGCAGCTGGAGAAAAACTACAACAAAATAAAGTAAGTTGTTCATGACCTTGTACCAAGATTGTTACTTTCTCATTTTCCATGCCTCAAGTAAGGGGTGGAGGGGTGGCGTGGGGAGGGGGAAGTGGGAGAAAGCAAAATGTGGGTGTGAATTCTCGTGAATTTAGCCATTATTGATTGCTAAACTGAACACTAAACTTGTGTCTTGTCCCGGGCAAAAAGTAAGCTATCATGGTTTGCTGTAGATCTTCATATTTATATGTGGTTTAATATTGAACAATATGAATATTATTGGCTTCTACTCTGGAAGTTATTTTTTGATTTATTCTGCCGAAATTTTACTTCTGTTGGTTTTCTGTGTCGTGCAAATTTGTGGAACTCTATAAATATCTTTTTCTTATCGGTCAAAAGTTGTTTTTTGTCTTTTGATTGGTTTTTTACATCCTCAGTTGAGAATTAACATTGCACTCCGGTGAAACTGGCCAATCATTTTCCCTGGTTACATAATATATGAGACTGATAGCATGTTTGGCCAAGTTTAAAAAAAAAAAAAAAAAAAAAATTTACTTTTGCATCCAAACACGTCACCATTTCATACTTTTAAGCACAAAAGTTTTATTTTGGAAGTAATTATTACCGTATTTCCAACTCTAAACAATAAAAAAACATTTATTTTAAAACCGATTTACATGGAACAATTGCCGAACATGCTCATTCTACCGTAGAACTTGGGTTGAGCTTTACATGTTAATATTCGAGAATGTCATTATTTCTACCTTTAAAGAATGAGCTGGAAGTATGTTTCTTTATTGACTTCTAACTTTGCTATTAATATTCAAACTTCTTGAGCATTGTTTTTTATATAACAACAATTGTTCTTCACTTGATGCTTTCAATGACATTGCTTGGAAAACCATTTGGATCCAACTTGTAATGTATCTTAAATTTATTTTGCAGCTTGGAACTTCAGAAAAGATCAAAGGAGGCTGCTCATAGGATTGCAATGGAAGAAGAGGCTGTGCTTAGGAGGTCGACTCGCGTTCGCGCCCCACCTAGGGAAAATCCCGCATTTGCCTTCCTTAAATATGTAAACAAGTGGAAAGAACTCTAATTGTCATCTTCTTTTCCCAGCTAGATTATATAGGCAGTGTAGTACAGATGCAGCTATTTACTGGATGAAGAGGAAGAGTGGGTTAGTGATTCGTTTCTTTAAAGTTGAGGTGGGTTCACGAGTCGTGAATTCTTTTTATCCTGATGAAGAGATGAAAGATGTTATAGGTACATCAATTATTCACAGCACACATACATGTAAGTGGGTGGGGTCCACAATTAAGATAATCGTGGACCTCACCTTTGTGAGACAGCTATAAAAAAAGCTATCAAACAAATGCTGTATAAACAGCAATTTTCTTTTTGATGTGACTGAATTTTTGGATGCAAAAGGTCATCATTGCATGGGATTTTTCACATATTCAAGCCCATCTGATGGCACAATATGCAATACTCCTGATCCATGTAAATGGCATTCATTAGTGACTTCAATTTTTAATCGAGATAGTTTATGAGTTTGTTACTTTGTCATCTTCTTTAGCTCGTCTTCTTACTTACATAGTCTTAGTTTAAATGCATCAGTTGATAAATCGTCAAGCATTACATGTTTTTATTTTTATTTTTTTTAGTCGATTGAAAATTAAAGAGTAGATATCAATCTGTTTGTTCAAAAAGAGAAATTTTTTTGTATTATATCACTGATGATAGCATTACTTTGTAAGTTGCAATAAGAAAAAGCAAACATACAAACACAAGGGCAAGGGGTCAAGATGGGGATGGCAATGGTCAATTGAATCTGGGTTCGATTCAGTCTACAGTTCGTGTTAAAAAGAGCCAAAGTTCATGAATTGGGATGGGATGAGCCATTCGATCCATTTACCTCTCTAGGTCGGGATGGGCCAATGCTCGAGTTCCCAATTTACTTGCACGGTTTATCCCTCTACTGACTTTTAATAGAGCAAATGACATAAATTAAAAAATCAAATAATATTATTAATTTATTATGGACGTCTCCTGGAATAAAGAAGGGCATCGGAGTTGGCAAGTGTATAGGATCATGTCCAGCAAAGCAACGACCAAACCTCTATTACGTTGTCGGACCCACCATCCGCCTGTCGCCTCGAGGCTTGAGTATGCTAACATTTAGCCTTCGTTTGGCCCCTGTTAAATTCGATTTCATTACATTTCATTTTTCTCTCTTCTATTTTCAACCACACAATTTTCTATAAAATAATATTGCACGCAAATCGAAAATTTTTCTTTCTTATTCAACCATTTATTTAAAAAAAAATTATTTCATCCATTTCCATAAATAAGGCAAACGGGGTTGAAGTACTCGCTATTTTTGGCCCAGCACGTGGTGGACCTTCATTCGAGCTTCGCCTTTCAACGCGATTATCTGCACAAAGGAAATGATATTCCCTGCCACATGTGAGAGAAGGTGGAGGCGGGCCCCACCTTTTTTTTAATTGCTGCGGAGCTCGACACCCCTAGGGTCTGTGCACACCTGTACGAGGAGCTCGGTTCTATTGCCAGTCCATGTTAGTCTTCGTTTTGGCATCAAAATGGAGTAATTATTGGACAGCCAATAATATCCGCTGGCGCCGTAATTTAAATCCATCACTTTCGCTACCTGCGAGAGTTGACTTAAGATAAACTTTCGTCACAGATTCTTAATTGGTATTCTTTACTATTTTTTATAATGAGTATTCATTTATACAGAGAAATGGATCGTTGAGTAAAGTCCCTCCATGTAAGAGAATCTTTTCATTTCCCTCTCTTCATCATTCATTTATGTGTAAAAACTCGTATATACATACAATACAACCGTATTTTGTTGAAGCGCGGCTGCTTTTGTTCTTTTCTGCTTCTCAGGTGCATTATCACTACTGGAACTATATTTTTTTGTTCTTTTTTATGCATTAACTTGCCTATTTTCGTAATTTTGTCTGGGACATTATATTTCTGTGTTTTTCTTTTTATTGGGATCACATTCAAGCCTTTCTTGAGATCTAAAGTTGAATTAAAATGTTTGTGTGAAATAAAAGACGAGAATGATTTTATATTTTTCAAATTCTTTGGTGCTAATGAGATGATAAGTGTTTACCTCGATTTTTGTACCTTCAATATGGCCGATGATACCTGTTCCTTTCATGTCCCTGCAAGCTTTTGTCCTGCACACTTGGACAAAAGTTGGAATGGCACAATGTGTTGACTTTTACAGAGGGAGAGGTACAACACAAGCCATTGGATTAGAAGACATGTAGCCTCGTCGTGACAGTCCACCTTTCATCCGTTGTATCATAGGCTAAGTGCATTTATGGGCATTTAATGTTTTTGAAATACCGCCACCTTAAAGCCTAAGTCTGACCTCCGATTCATAGACCGACAATTTGACATTAAAGTGACTGCTGAAGTGAGTTGTCACATCACGTAACCGTTTGACAGATTTGTATGAAAAATCTGCCTAGGGAGATGTGAATTGGAAGATTCTTTCTGTGAACGAGAGGCTGGAAACCTTGTATATCTTCTCTGAAGTGTGGTTTCACTTAGCCTCGGTCATTGGAGGGTCGGCCTCAAGCTGCACCTCGCTGAGGCGGTCCATTAACTCAACTACCAGATGCCTCGGCTCAATGGGGCATCAGTTTAGGCGTTCTTGGCTACTAGGCAGGGATGACGTGGAGTGTCCCTGGAGACTTTGTTTAGTGGGTTGCCACATGGTTGATGATTTGGCGCCTCTTTAGAAAAGGCGTAACGATAGGGACTGAACGGGAGCTGGAATATGTAAACCCCATATAATTTCGTTTTGAATTACTGGAAAACCCATTGTATTAAATCTAGAAATTAAGATCAGTTGAGCAACGACAACTTGTTTACACAAGGATGCTTCTCTTATCTCTAGAAGTGTGAACTGAAATTATAAGCTTAAACTCAGTAATTTATTTGTTCACAAGTGCTTTTCCTTTTCGTGCTTGCGTTTATATTGGTGGTCATTGACTGATTTTGCTCCAGGTGATTCATAATACTAGCTGAATAATTTCGTTTTAACAATATTTTGCTTCTTTGAAAGTTAGAGGGAAAGAAATACTGTCTTCCATGGTCATATTCAGGCATAACTGATATTTGATGGATTACTGTGGGTAATAGAAATTTCCCATCAAGTGTTACATATAATAAAAAGAATGATAGGATGCAGTCCTCTGTAGATTATTAGCCTGTGTTTTATACTTCACATTGTATTGTGATGATGGTTCTAATGTTAACTTGCTGTGATTGCTTACAGTGGGGATATTAAATATGGCATCTGAACTTGTGAATTCTGCAACAAGTGACAAGCTTACTGAAATGGATTGGGCGAAAAACATTGAGATTTGTGAATTAGTCGCATGTGATAACAGGTACAATTTCAATACTTTTATATGCATTGTAATGTTGCTATTATTGATGTAAAGGCTCTCTCAACGGGTCCTCAATTCTGTTAGGTATTCAATATTTTGACAAAAGGTTCTCATTGGATGTTGTTTCTTCACTTTTCATCTTGTTAAGCGAATTTCTTTTTCCTTTTTTGTAAATAATTAATGATTATTATACATTCTAGATGTAGAAGGTCGAATTTAACTTGGAACCTTTTTGCTTTCACTTTGAGTAATTTAATACAAGTAATTCAGAAAAATGGTGCTGAAGTTACTTTTTATCTTGCTGAATCAAGTTTAATTCTGGAAACATGGTTGGTGTTGTTTAATTTAATATTAACTATGTGTCTGAATGTCAATATAGCCGCTTAACCATTGTTTTATGTATTTTGGTAATACAGACAAGCTAAAGATGTTGTAAAAGCTATAAAAAATTGCCTGGGAAGCAAAAATTCAAACACTCAATTATTTTCAGTATTGGTGAGTACTTGTAGGGTATATAATTTTTCGGCTTGGTCTGATGAATCCCCTTTACTTGCGGTGGATTATATAACACTTGCTTGGAAGCATTGATAAGACTATTTGTTTCTGGTTGGATTCACAGCTTCTTGAAATGTTGATGAACAATATTGGAGAACATGTTCATCAGCAGGTTATAGACATGGGTATTCTTCCTATACTTGTGAAAATAGTTAAGAAAAAGGTGGACACTCTTTTTAATGTCTTATGCTCAGTCATTTGTTGATTTAATTAATAGAAGAAATATTATTATTATTATTTTTTAATCTCTGTTTGTACAGTCCGATCTTTGTGTAGGGGAAAAGATTTTTCTTCTTTTAGATGCAGCTCAGTCATCTCTTGATGGAAATTCTGGGAGGTTTCCTCAATATTATTCTGCTTATTGTGAATTGGTGGTAAGTACAGAGCAAGCTATATACTAATCGCAAGCTTTTAAAATTTTAGAATCGAAGTCCATATTGAGCAAATGTTGTTCAAGCATCTCTCTTGTGTTTTTACTTTAAACCTAGATAAATTCGAGCCTTTCATGACGTGCAATTTGCAATCCATATTGCTATTTTACCCTGGAAAAGCTACTGCATTTGTATGCTTTTTATCTTTTCCCAAAAGACTGAAATCTTTTTTATCGATGTTTTTCTTTCTTCAAATGATGTCTTCTGTATATTTACTACCATCAATTAAATAATCTCATCTCATGTTCTCAGTTATCTAATAACTGCTCCCAGGCAATTTCCTTTTCTTTTATTTTGGAATTGTTCCAACAGTATGGATGTGTGGCATAACTAGGGAATAGATTTTTGGTTGGTCTCAATTACCAGAATAAAAACCTTTTTAAGTTGAAGAGGCATAAATAGACCTCTGATGCAGTATCTCAACAAAAAACTAGATTTGTCACTTTGTGCATTTCGTCCCATGCATGATTCAATATATTTCTATGTCAATGAAAGATGTTTAATTAAAAGGACAAGTATTTTTTTATGTAAAGAAAAATGAATCTTCCTTAAGATGTACATTGATTTTATCTTTCACTGTATGATATGTGTTTCAGTAGACTTGCCTGCTTTGCAACTAAATTGTGCCTAAAAACACTATTGGAGTCATAAACTTTGTCGACTATGTAAACATTAAAAACATCTTCCAGAGTGCAGGAGTGCAATTTCCTCGAAGTTCTTCTGACACCTCTAAACCTCATTCTACATTGGAGGTGAATAAGAATAATTCATCAGATAAGCAGTCAGCTGCTCCTCAATTTGAAAGAAAAGCACCCAAAAATGTTTCTGTATCAAGGTATTGCTTTTGTTTCATATAAATACTCTTGTATCCAAGGGAAAAAGAAATCAATCATTCTTAATCTCTATTTTATACCTTTTGATCATCTTACTTTTAACAATTTCAAATTTCCACAGTATACTTGAAAAAGCTGGCACTGCTTTAGAGGTCTTGAGGGACGTCCTTAATGCTGTTGATACTCAACGTTCTGAGGTATTTAGTGTTTAATAATTTCTTTTGCTGACAAAGATAAAGCTTGATACTTCTCAATGCTTAGTTGATGTAGTAGAAATGACAAATACACACACACACATA